CAGCTTGTATCTATCATGAAGCACCAGCTCTATGCTTCAAATTATTGCACTCCAATCGCCAATATTCTCGATTCATCCTGATTTCATGATCGATCAATTTCATACTAATTAATAACCATGATATTTCTAAAACATAACCAGTAAGCATTGTTTAGCCCATGAAAGTGATTTTATGCAGTAAAATAATAGGGAAGATGAATGGCATGATGGATTTTTGATATCTCAGAAGGAAATACCCTTTCACATATTCATTTACATGCAAACAATTGGCATTTTTTAGAACAAAAGCAAACAAACAAAACCCCCAGGAAATCAGATTCCGAATAGGCCACTCCTTTATCAAGTCTCCTCAACTGTGATTTTCCTCTTGGGAAGGCATACAGTAATAAAGCTTGCCTTACAGAGTCGGTGAGACAGTCCTGAAAACCGAGCCTTAGAAAGGCTGGTCTTAACCAATGGCTTGTGGAGGGAGGGGCCATCCTCTTGGATGGGGTATTTAGTTTCCTTCAACAACTATATTCTGGAACCATTTTTCATTTCACCTCTTAGGAAATCTGAAGGATGAACGATGAGGAGGGCAACAAGCCTCCCCTAAAGAAATGGACAGGTTGAACAGGGAATTGGGATTAAAGTAAGAGTCCTTGGGTGGTACAAATGGTTTGTTAGGCCCTACATTGCCTACTGAAGGGCTGGTGGTTCCAGTCTGCCCAGAGGGATGGAAAAGAAAGGCCTGGTGATCTGCTTCTGAAAAGCCAGCCATCGACAGCCCAGTGGCTGCCCGTGGCTACCCCAGCTGCCTGGATCCCGTTCCCAGGCTCCTTGGCTGGCAGGCTGGAGAGCTGCACTGCCAGCGGTTCTTTCTTTTGGGGTACCTCCGGTCTGCTGGAGCATTTCTCTTCGGGGAGCCTCACCACCCCAAACCCCAACCAGATCCACTACCACCTTGTCAGTTCCAACACACAGCCAACCTGTAGAGGGTTTCTGAAACTGTAAACATGGTGGAAGCAGACAGCCTCCCCTTTCTCCTTGGAGCAGCTGGTGGGTTTGAACAACTGACCTTGTGGTTAGCAGACGAATATCTAACCCACAGCACTACAAGGGCTCGGGTCCTCACCACAGAATGGTTTAACTCCCTATCTATTATTAGGACAAGGAGGAAAACACCATTATCATGACAAAGGCCCAGAAAGTCCTTTTAGGCACATTGAACTCCTCATGTATTGTCTTCTAGAGCCAGCAAGCTTTTGAGACACTTAAAATTATATATATAATTTTAATATGCATTATATATAGTACTAATAAAGGACAAATAAATAGTCAATGCATGTTGTCTTCTCACAAAAATAAATCTAAAAGCAGAAAGCCCCGTAGAAACATATGTATCTGTCTCATCAAGGTAAGGGGTAACTTTCAGAGCTGGAGGAACTCTCCAAGCAAAGGTTTGTAAGAAGTTAACTGAAATCTCATGTTAACCTTATTCAGAACTAAGTGTTCGATTCTGCACAGAACATTTCATATGTGTTATTGTTAACTTTGATTGACAGCCCTGAAGAGGAGGTACTATAGCCTCATCCTTGCAGATGGGCCCTCGAAGGTCCAAGTGTAAGTCATATCATATTTGAACCCCGGATGACTTCACTTTTGTGGTTTTGCCAGTTGCTACCTTGTTTTTCATCAACATACCAAATGACCCAAGCTCTCAGGAATTCTCCTTTTTATAATAATAAGGAAAAAGTCACCCTAAGAGTCAGGGAGAATTTAGAGAAATAAAAACCAATAGAATCATCAAAAGCAAGACAAATAAATTCAGTAGGCACCTAAAAAACATGCTAGCTTGTTCTTTAAAAAGAAAAATCCACTTTTGAGATAAGGAAAAGTAGAATTATCAGGAAATAGCTCTTCTATATTACCTTCTAGACTTTTGCGGGAGTTGTGTGAATAAGGAGAATCTTGTTTTCTATAGGCAAACCATCCAGACATACATCAGGACAATGCCTGGATGGGTGGCTGGATGAATAACCAGACCACTAGGAACAGAGTGAGGAAGAAGAAATCACACTGCATTTGGAATCAGATCATGTGAGCTGTAGCTCTTGCTCCATTGTTGCCCGTCATGTAAGCTAATTTATCTAAAAAATAAGGACGATGACACCCTCACTTCCTTGATTGTTGGTGATGGATTAAGTGTACTGATTTATTGAAGACAATTTTGAAAATGTTAACGTGTTATCCAAATTCAAGGTATCATGTTTCTTACAAAGAATGACATTACTGTAAGCAGACTAGAGAAAATGATGCCATTTAATGCATTTTTGTAGAGTCTTGCCAGATGAAAAGGTGCTGGAAGTATGGAGGATGATAGGAATTTGCATTAAATAAGTGAACAATCCACTAAATAGCTATAGCTCGTACTTAAACTATTTATGTTTCCACCATTGTGTTTTATAATAACAGTGTTTATCAAAGTGTTACCGTGGATTTTTCCGGGGTGCTTACTAAAGAAGCAGAGTTCAAGGTTTGATTTGCCTTTCAAGATTCCTTCTTAATCAGCTACCGGAAAACCAAATTTAAAATAAAGTACAATATGGACTAGTCTCCAAGATTGATCAATGTGGATGGAAAGGGTTTGGCTTCAAGAGAAATTTTGTTTAGCAACAGAGTTGGTATTTACATCATTCTTTCTTATTTATAAAAACGGAGTGAGATTTTGCATCCCATCATGAAATCACCTATTATTGACACATACTCTCATCTCGGAGAGTCTGACGCTGCTACTGTGCTAGATAGAGGAACACTCGTCATTATGTCCATTGTTCTCATTGCTTTATTTCCTTGTTTCTCCTTGACCATAATGTTTCAATTTTTGAAACATGAAGTATCCCACGTGCATTTTGTAAACAACATTCTTAATTACACAATATGGAGCAAAGAGCTGAGAAGATCTCAAGTAACAGCTTGTTTCGTCACCTAATGATATCTATGTTCATGACTGAGTTAAGAGTTTTGTTTTAGCCTAAAGGATACTGATTTGGGGGACTCTGGAACAAAAATAGGAGCCCTGGCAGCACAGTGGTTATGAACTGGATGTTAACTGCAAGGTCAGCAGTTCAAAACCACCAGTCATTCCACGGGCGCAAGACAAGGCTTTCTACTCCTGTAAGGAGTTAGCGTCTCAGAGACTCACAGGGCAGTTCTGTCCTGTCTTCTGGGGTTGCTACCAGGCCATATCAACTCAGTGGCTCCAAGTTTGGTTATCTTGGCACAAAAGTGTTTGTTATGTTTCAAAATTTTCAATTCCCTCCTGTAAGGATTGTTGTCTTTTCCTTTGAGAAACCAATTGGTTAAGTCAACCCTTCCCCTGTATTGTTGGAAGCAGCTAATGTCACTCTCTTACTTAGTTGTTAACGGTTCCGCTGAAGTAATCATGACTAGACAGGTCTGCAGACTGTGGACAGCCATATAGTTTGGCTGTGATCCCTTTCAGTTGGCCGCAAGTACTTGGCCACTGCAGCCCTAGGGCTCCTTCATGTTCAGTAAAATAGTAGAGGACATGCCATCTTATTGCTGGGTGGTCAGTGTGGTTCATTTGAGACTAATGTTCATGGCCTTAAAATGAACCTTGTCAGCATAGATGTACATATTCTTCAAACACAGAGTCTGTACATAGTGGGGTGTAGCCAAGAGAGTACTATGAAACTAGGGCTCAGTGATGGTACCTAGCCATGGAATGGACAAGCTAGATAAAGAGGGCATGAGGACATGAGAGAACAAAGGAAAAAATAAAAGAGTGTCAAAAATCAATGAATGGAAATATCCCAGTGGAGTCTTGAGTGTTGCTTGAGTCAAGATAGTGAGCAGAATACACAGAAGCTTGTAGTTAGTCAGAGTAAATATTTGAAACTGAGATAAAGGAAGCACTAAGAGAATAATAATGGTTATGTTTAAGCCCTATACTCTCAGGGCATGGGGGTGGGGGTAGAAGCTTAGTTAGGGCAAAGGAGAGATCAGTAGAGGAAAGGAGATCATGGAACTGACTGGCCAGTCTTTTGGAAGAATCTAAAATGTGAATGCTGAAATTAATGAGTACTCTGAGTATTAGCCAAAGTGACTCTGACCTTGGAGATACATTTCAAGAAATAAACAGGAAGGGGAGCAGTGGTCTAAGCACCAGAGGACAGCAGCCATTTGAGTGGTGTTCAGTTAGTGCTGTTGGTATTAGATTCAAATCTGGGTGAGTTTGGGGGCATGGGAGAGAGAATGGCTTGGAAGGGTCCATGGAGAGGGAGAAGAAGATCTACTCAGGGTCCAAACCAGTGGCAGGAGTGTGGGGAAGAGAAGCAGACACCAGTGAGCCCTGCGGGGTGGGAAGTTCTCAGGAGAGACCACTTCAGATGGAAAAGACAGCAAACCGAAAGCCCAGAGAAGAGGCTAGTAGATGGAGCTGTAGTGGCTGGTAGTTAATGATGGGGTCTTGAATAGGAGAGAACGGAGAGGCAGGGTGTCCAGGGTTGGGGGGAGTGAGAGATAGGGGTAGGGTGGATGCTTTTTTCTTACTTAGTGCCTGTTTACTTTCTCTGCTTTAAAAATCAAAGTAGTTCTATTTTCCTCTTTTCAAACTTGTCTTCCCTTTCCACCTCTCTTGTACCTTTGAAGATCTATTGAGCTTCATTTAATATTTCTAGGCACGCTTCTCATTAGCATTCAATATAGTAATCCTATAGATATTATTCCTATATAATATGTATATTCTATATTAGTGTTCATTACATCTCAGAATCTTCCTTCTAGCTTATCTTGTAAGCTTTTCTTTAGATATATGCTCTGTTTTCCCTCAAGAATCCTTCTTTCTCTATAGACTTCCCTTCTAGAAATGACCCATGGGGTTGTTTTCTTTAAGGATGCCTTGACCATCCCAGAAATTGCCTCAGGGAAGACCCTGTCAGTGGGGAGACACTCAGTTGCCTCCCATCTTCGACCAAGAAGAGTGTCCCTTTCCTCACCTGGACTTGGACAGGTTCCATCCAGTGCTCCAGAGTGTCAGCAGTGATGTTCTTCGGCAGCAAGACAGGATCACTTGGGGGGACGACACATGATGGGGAGCACACTGCTCCTGCGGAAACAGAAATATATGATAGAGACTTGAATATACTCTGATCTCAATCTTTCCATCCTAGAATCAATGGCTTTGATTATTTAAGGACAATTGCTTTCTACATGATTGGTTGTCATATAAAGATGATGTTAATTGAAAAGGCTGATATTCTTCTACTGTGTACTTGTAGGGATAGTTGCATGGGTCCAAGCTCTGTCTCTTTGGCCCAAGTGCCCCCTTCTCTACTCAGTACATTATAGCGCCTTCTTTAGGATCACCATAACTCTGCATGACTCAGTAGTTACAAAATGAACTCCGGATCCGGTTGACCTCCAGCACTTTGGCCAGTCAAAATCTATCTCTAATTGTTGATGTCTGTTAAATATGTTTAATACCAACCCTGAATAACTGATCTTCTAGAGGTTTATAATTGCTGCAATGAGTAAGTAAGAGCTTTACTAAAAACTAAATAAATAAATAAACTTAAACTCACTGTCATCAAGTTGATTCCAACACATAGTGACCTTTAAGGACAAAGTAGAACTGTCCCTATGGGTTTTTGTTGCTGTAACTCTTTATGGGAGTAGAGGGCCTCTTCTTAACTCCCATGGAGTAGATAGTAGTTTTGAACAGCTGGCCTTGCAGTTAGCAGCCCAAAGCATAACCCATTAATCCAGAGCTTGACTAGCTAAGGGAAAAAGTAACCCAGAATTTATGAAGGCAAATTTATAAAAGTTGCTAAACTGATGATAATTTTGTTGACAACCAAGAAACCTATGGGGTTAACAGAGAAAACAAAGGGGGAAAGAAGCAGACTATTTGATCACGTGTTGGCCTCTCGAGGAAACATATTGTTCTGTTCTCTTGTATGTGGAGTCCAAGAATCTTCTAAAATTCTCTTGCAAGAAGACAAATCTCAAGGCCTTCTGTCATCTAGCTGTGATGAACACCAGGGGCTCTAGAGAAATAGTGGGGTCATACATTGGGAAGTTAACTGTGAAGTCAGCAGTTCAAACCCACTAGCTGCTCCTCAAGAGAGAAACAAGGCTCTCACCCCCATAAAGATGTACAGTCTCGGAACCCCTAGGGAGCAGTTCTACTCTGCCCTATATGGTCACTCTGAGTCAGAATCAGCCCAGTGCCACTGGGTATGCTGATCTCGACCTATCTTTTCAGCTCTCACTCTCTGTTTCTCAGTAACCTTTATGATAATCAAAAGAGCTGTATCATTTTAAAGCATTCTGGACAGGCGAGTGCATGATACTTTAATGCAGAAATGAACGGCTTGGGAGATAAGCACTTGTTCATGAGAGACCCCTGAAGGGGTCTAATCTGTGCACCTGACCCCCCCACCCCATGCCAGACCACAAGGGGTCACAGTGAAAAGAACAACTGGGGGATGGTAAAGAACACTCCAGAAACTATGAAGGTTTTTGCTGAACTTTAAGTATAGCATTGGCATTTCACACTTATAATGATCACTTCTTGCCTGGGCTGTTCAGAAGGGATGGGCAATCTCATGTGGTTTCCCACAAACTGTCTCTCTTCTGTGGTGCTCAGCCCCAGCCAGGGCAAAGTTGAGTCAACATTACTATAAATCAGGTCTGGCCACAGGGACTTTTCATTGCAAGTACTTGAGCACTGAGCTGCCCAAAGACTCCGGAGCCTAGTCTCCTGCAGAGAAAGGATGGACGAAGAGCAACACAAGCAAGTGTAATATTGAATTGTCCTTTCCAGGAACGATTCGCTCCAGTAACAAGTGCAGAGAGCGTGGAAGATTCCATAACACACGCGGCATATGGCTACACACCCCCACCTCTCTTTTTGGAACCACCGATCCTGTCACAGATCCATCCCTTCGTGTCCTGCAATGACCAGAGAGACTAGACCCATTGTGATTGAGTTGACTTCAACCCATAGCAACCTCAAAGGATAGGGTAGCACCAGTCTATTGGGCTGCCAGGGCTGTAAATTGTGGCAGACACAGACTGCCACATCTTTCTCCTGCAGAGCCACTGGCGGTGGGGGTGGGGGTGGTGTCCCAGCCACTAGCATTTTGTTTGGCAGTTGAATGCTTTAATGAAGGCACCATCATGGGCCTCCTTTTCCATATGAGCAGACAGGACGCAAATGGCTCAGCAGCCAGATTGACTTTCTACACATGGAAGAATAATAATGCTATAAATTATATTTTTACCAAAGCAACTAGGAATCATCTTACTTTTTGAGGGAGAACACTCCTAGGGAGAACACTGAGCCTAAGTCAAGGGGAATGGGAGCAACCTTGAACACCCCTCCCATTCTTACCAATACCATATCCGTGTTCACACTTGTATTCCACGAAATTCAGTTCTGTGGGAGGTGGTGGGCATTCCCCTTGCAGGTTTTCACACAACTCAAACTCCTTGGTCCACAGTCCTTCCTTAGTGCAGAGGATAGGAAGCTAGGAAACCAAAGTTAAAGGAAATCTCCATTATTCTTTTTTTTAATTTTATTTAGAGTTGAAGTAGGGAGTCACTTAGCCAGATGGCAGTATTTTCCAACTTCTAGAACCTGTATTAAATGACACTCTTTAAACAAAACAAAACAAAAAAACCTCACTATTGCAATAGGCAACCCCCCCAAAAAAAAAACATCAAAAGGATAATTCCTTTTTGCCATAAGGAAATCATGAACATGTTTGTTATATAAAAATATGATAGGCTGTCAACTTTAGCCCAGTTATTCTGAGATATTTTTGGAAATTTCCTCCACATGGTATGGGTTTGCATTGATTCATCTCTATTGTCACACACATTTGCCACTTTGCTGGTGGCAACTGTCAGAGTTTTTCAAGATGGGTTGCGTCTGGTGAAATCAATTCATATCTTTCCTGAAGGTGTTCTTTGTCTTTCATTGTAAGTGGACACCTCGAGGGACATTACTGCTTTTGATCTCATGCTCCCTGCTAACCCCTGTCCTCAGGAGCATGCTGATCGGTACAATCCCTGGCCGCACACACTCAGCATTGGGAAGACATTTTATCGAGGGCACAACAAAAAGGCTAACACTTACCTCACAAAGCCCAAGAAGGTAAGATTTCAAAATTACACACAACTCTCCCTCTGGCTTTGATTCCTTAGCCCATGAGTGCACATGGTGTGTTTGGTTTCTCTGGGATTCCATTTCTTGGCATGTTCTAGTCACATTTGTCTTGCAGGGCTTACTCTGCAATGCTGCACACTGCGATACAGTCCGACAGCACTTTTAGCTTTGCTCAGTGTGGTAGTTACATAATCTGGTGTCAATTTGAGAGGATTACTAGTGAAGGGGTGGAGTCTAGTCTGTCAATCGGATCATTGCCAGTGAGGCCTCTGTGTGGGCATGGCCTTCTCCTACAATTCTGGGAAATCCGGTATTCGTTCTTAGAGATAAGAGACACTTCTCTCTTTTCTTGAGATGATGTTCTACTGACAAGACCTGACAAGACACATGGCACTACGCTGACAGAGCCCATACCCTGGAGAAGCCATGTGGAGACCCCTGCCAGCGCTGCGATGCTTACAACACCACTGGATCCAAAGACTTTCTACCCACTGGCCTGTGATTGTCCTGCATTCAGCATCATTGCATGTGTTTCCTGAGTCTGAAGAGGACTTTAGAGATTCGTATCAGACATAGGGACTAATATCGGACTTATGGGCTTGGACTGGACCGGGTTGGGGTGCTTTCTTAATGTACAATTAACCTTTATATAAAACTTTCTCTTATACACATATGAGTATCTATAAATTTGCTTCTCTAGTCTACCTGGACTAACACACTGAGGAACTCGTGTTTCTGCTCTGGATGTTGTTTTATGAAATAATATAATACCAGCAATCCTAGTCCAGTGAGGTCAGTGGGCGTGCCTGAGAGGAGGTCAGTGGCCGTGCATGAGAATACTTTGGAGTGTGCCCAAGTACCCAACCATCAGGTTCTTATCTCAGAAACAGGTCGAATCTTAGGAAAGACAATTTCAAAATGTGTTATCTTCTGAATTCCTTGACAAATAATATTAACCGCCATGTTAGAGTTTGGCCTTGCTAAGGTCCTGCCTGTTGGGAATCCTCCCAAGCATTTCTATTAAACATTCTTCAAGTGGCCACTGAGAGTAGACAATGACCCAAAGCAGTTCAATAAGTCATCTTTGCGTAGACAGACATGCAAGCTGAGAAATGTGAGAGATGAATGGGACTGACTTCATGAATACATAGAGGTTAGCTGTTGTTGCTCTTAGATGTCGTCACGTTGATTATGAATCATAGTGACCCTATGTAAAACAGAATGTAATATCACTCAGTCTTGTGCCACCTTCACAAGTGTTCCGTTGGAGCCCTGTTGCTGCAAACATTATGTCAGTCCATCTCCTTGGGGGTCTTCCTCTTTTGTTAACCCTACTCATTAGCAAGTATGATAGGTACCCCTTCCTGATGACCTGCCCCAAGGGAGTGAGATGAAGTCTCACTCTCCTTGCTTCTATGGGGTATTAAGAAGTATCATGATACTTCTTCCAATGCAGACTTGTTTGTTATTCTAGGAGTCTGTGATATAGTTAATACTCCTTGCCAACACCATGATCCAGCAGCATTAATCCTTTCCAACTCTTCCTCACTAATTGCCAAGGTTTCATATGCATATGAGGTGATTGAAATACCTTGGCTTGGGAACAGGTGCACCTTAGTCTTTAAATTAACATCTTTGTAACACTTTAAAGAGATCGTTTGCAACAGATATTTAGGTTTGACAGAGAATATTTCTCTATATATATTTATATGTGCTGCAAACATATACATGCAGATATTAGAGCATTTAGGGGACAAAGTTATGAAAACTTTTTAGCTATGAACAAAGGACTTAAGGGAATTAATTACTGGTCCTGGAGGCTCAACACCACAGTCTCAGAATATCTAATCAATTGATACAACAATCCTCAAAGTCCCCGTTTTGTATACCACCTTGGTGGATAGTGACAGGGGTCTTAAAAGGTGTGTGCCACAATCTAAGGTGCAACTCTCGGTGTCTCTGTGTCTGAAGCAAAAATGAGTGAATAAAATCAAAGATGCACAATCAGTACAAATGGTCTGATTAAACCAAAGAAAGCAGAAGAACTAGATGGTACCCAGCTACCACTACTAACTGCTTTGATTGGGATTACAATAGAAGATCCTGGATAGAGTGAGGGAAAATGTGGATCAAAACGCTAAATCATAAAAAGATCAAGCTGGTAGAACCAATATGAGTAGGACCCTTAGTCACTTTTCAAGACTGAAACTGAACTCACCCCTGGAGTTCAACATTCAGTCTAATAATAGTAAGGCCTATCAGGTGAACAATAATGCTAGGAAGGTCTATGCTCCTCCGAACAATAAGCCATGAGATCAAA